ATTGTAAACAATAATCCAATAATCTTTTTATTCACGACTTTGAAAAATCATGTGTCCCAAGTTTTTGACTGGTAGTGTAGAACAATTGATTTTTATATGGCTTTTATTTCATATACTCACCTTTTATGACCAATATTCTATCTTTTGACACCTGAATATAAAAAGTATATAATCTATTACTCACCTTCATGTTGCTCTAAACCCAAATGTCTTTCTTCTGTGGAATATAAAAGCAGACATTTAGCAGAATGTCTGAGCTTTAAGAATTTGTGTGAGCAAACATGAGATTTAAGAGCAAAACAGACAAAATAACCCAAATAAAGATGAAATATTTTTTTATTCTTTGTTGAACTATTCCTAAGAGTATTGTCATAATTACCTCTATTTCAGCATGTGAAATCCCCGTCCGTTTCCTGTCTGGATGTTGATTCGTCACCGCCGCCCAATGATGCCACGCCCTCCGTCCTGACCACACCCACTACAGCTGTCAAATCACATCGGCGGTCTGTCTCCTGCGGCAACAACCCCACCAATAACAAACCAGAGGCGGGGCCTGATATGAGAATCGTCAGGATACGGATGGATTTACATGACGGCAACTTATACAGAAGCATTCTGGTAGTCTAGCAAACACAAATGCAAGACATTTTCAAATGAAAGTAACTCACACTTTGGGCTTTGAAACCTCTGTGTTTCACAGCATCAGTCCAGAGTTACATCAGACAATCTTTGGCATTTCATGTCAGCTCCTGTTTAATATGTATGCAGTCGCTCTTTGTTCTAATGTATACTTTCTTTTCTGTGCTGCCTCAGGTCACCAGTAATGATAAAACACCCACTGTAATCAGTTCTGCATTAGAGAAGCACAACCAGAATGCTCAAGAAGTGTCCAAATACGAGCTGATCCAACTGCTGCCGGAGGGGAAAGGTGATGTCACATTTTTCATGTCATAATGTGCTGTACGTTTTTTGAAAACGCATTATAAAATGTGGAAAACATTATTCTGGGCATACTGATGGGACATAGGGACATTATGGACTTGATATATAAAAACAGGCAGCTGTCAGTCAAATAAAACAAATATAAATGAATATATACACTACCATTCACATGTGACATTAATATTTTTATTCAGCAAGGACACAAATTGATCAAAAGTGACAGTGAAGACGTTTTATAATGTTATAAAAGATTCCTATTTTTAATAAATGCTGTTCGTTTGAATTTTCTGTTCATCAAACACTTGTTTTTGACATTGACAATGATAATAAATGAGCAGGAAATTAGCATATTAGAATGATTTCTGAAGGATCATGTGACATTATGACTGGAGTGATGATGCTGAAAATTCAGCTTTGTATCACAAGAATAAATTAAATGTTAAAATATCTTCAAATAGACAAGTTATTTTACTATACATTTTTTATTCAAAAAAGTGTAGCCTTGTGAGCATAAGAGACTTCATTCCAAAAAAATCTCACTGACCCCAAACTTTTGAACAGTAGTGTATATACTGTATATAAATACATATTTAATTCATATTTATTTTAATTTATATTTAATCCAAAGTAAATTCTTTATTTATAGAAATATATTTTTAAAAAATGAAATATTTTAACAAAATTATTTAAACTGATTATTTAAGAAAAACATCTCTTTTTTTATGTTTTCTGAGTATTTCTTTGTCTTTCATTTCTCTCTCCACAGAGTTAATAATACCTCCCACAGGAAACGCCTTCTATGCTATGTCTTCAGCTAGCGTGGACTTCCTGTTAAGAAGAAGAGGAGGAAATACACCAACAGGGTCTCCGACTCTTGGCAACGAAACCAGCGCAACCTTTCCACGAATCAAAGCCAAGGGCAGAAGACTAGTTCGGACACTATTTTAACATAAAAACAGGATATTCCCGTCCAAGTACTTTCAAAAGAAAAGACACAAAATATTTCATTCAGAGCTCTTTGACGTAACTGTGTAGAATCGACTCAAATAAGTCATTTTCATAAGTCCTAATATTAGTAATTTGAGTGAAAGCTTGGTTGAAATGGCTCTAAGATGTTAGTTACTGCTAAACATTGCACTATTTTTGCATTTCATAAATCCAAAATGAATTTCAAGACAGAATCACGTACCTTTTGCTGATGCCAGCATTTCCATTACTTCCCCCGTCTACCTCTAAAGCTAGCAGTCCATTGGTTACAGAATTTTCTGCATTATTAATGAACATCAAACGGGGATAGAGCAGCTAAAAGATCCCAGCATAAGAAAATAAACACTTACAGAAGGTACTTACACCTGTCTAATATTTCAACCTACCTGAAGATGAGTCGCAAAACCACTGCCGCTCTCCAATGTCCTCACCAAGTATGCAAACTGATAGTTGCTTACTGTGTACTTTCTCTTTAAATATTTATACAGAATTCATTATGGTTTATGGTAATATCGAGACTCTGTTCCAAAACCTAGTATAAAGTTAAAAGTGTAAAACTATCTAAGGCAGGAAACTAATTGAAACGGATCCTCAAAAGAGACCGATCTGAATCACTCTAAATTGGCAGCAACTCTTAGGCCGCACGTGGGAGACTTTACAATCGATTTCAATACAGTTTGATGTTTGTTTCTAAGCTAACAGCACAATAATCTAGTAAGAATAATAATACACTACTTTCCAAAAGTTTGGGGCCGCTAAGATTTTCAAAAGAAATTAATACTTTTATTCAGCAAGGTTATTACAGTTAACTAAAACTAAATCTAAAACTAAAAGTAAAACCATAAAAATGGTTACTTAAACGTTAGCTGAAATAATATATATAAAAATCTTTTTATTTCAGGTAATTGCCAAAGCAACATTTCTCATTTGAAAAAAATAATAAACATTGTATAGATATGTATAAAAAATACAAAAAAAGGCAAAAACAACAAATTTACTAAAATGAAAATAAAAAAATAAAATAAAGAAAATGAAAATATAAAAATAAAAACGGATTCAAAATATTCATAAAAACAATAATTGTATCTCAATGATACTAAAATAACATGGTCATTTAGCAATAATGCTTTAAATTGATCAAAAGTGATCAAATAGTTCTATATTTATTTATACTTTCTATTCATCAAAGAACCCTAAAAAAAGTATCATGTATTCCACACAAATATTCAACATTAATTTTAATAATAATAATAATAATGCTTCTTGAGCAACAAATCAGCATATTAGAATGATTTCTGAAGGATCATGTGACACTGAAGACTGGAGTAATGATGCTGAAAATTCAGTATTGCCATCACATGAATACATTAAATGTTAAAATAGAAAAATATATAACATACATTGTGAATTGTAAAATGATTTCACAATATTATTGTTTTTACTGTATTTTTGATCAAATTAATGCAGCGTAGGTGAGCATAAGAATATTACAGAGAAGTAAATTACATTTTATGAAAATCTATTACATTACCATAAGACAAACCACAGAAGATAATAAAATAAAAATAAACAACAACAATAATAACAACATTCATTACTATTCTTATGACTATTATTGTTGTTGTTGTTATTGTCTAACTGTGGGCTGGTTTTGGTATCCAATAGCTAATAATAATAATAAAACATGTAAAGGGAGTTTAAGGCACTCTACTTCATGTCTGAAACATACAGCCTTGACTCATACAAACTTTCCCAACCTTGTTCCTGAGACACACCAAAAATGCACATTTTGTATGTCTTCCTCATCTGATCCATTCATTTCAGGCCTTAGTTTCTCCACTGAGCGTAATCGGTGTGTTTGGTTAGGATCATTTCAAAATGTCTCTGCTGGTGTGTCTCCAGGAACAGGGTTGAGAAACACTAGCTTATTGCTTTATTACCATTATCGGAAAGTCTGATAATACTGTGATTTACAAACACAAGACTAAATGGACCTAAAGAGGATCTCAGTGAGAGGTGTTGTCACTATGGTTACTGTGTCAGAAGATTACTCTAATAGTCACTATGGCAACTGCATCCCATAAATGTTTTGTCTTTAGAAATTGCACATGAAAAGGTTAGGTGAGAAGCATTTCAAGCAGCATCTCCAATATCAGACTCACTTTAAAACAAGCATATGAAAATGTAAAACATGCACACCTGTACAGAAAGATCCTAACTTTAAAATCTTATCTTATCTGTTTGGTAACCATGGTAATTTCAGTTAGGACCACATTTAGGACAAAAGCTATTACAGAACAGCGTTTCCTAAGTGTGTTATCTTCTCTTAACTACAGATAGGAAGGGGGTATTACAGAAACCTAAAAATCCTAAAACCTTAACTTTAGGACAACCCCACAGCTGTCCTAACTTCAAAATAATTTGAAAGCTAACGGAAAAACAGCTTGCAATTGCGCTGTCCAACAATGGTATTACATTTATTAATAATTGAAAATGAAGAACGGAGATGTTTAATGGTAGAAAGACTCTTGGAGGACCCTGAAGATGTGTTACATTTTGATGAAAAAACACATAAGTAATTACAGACTGTCGCGCAACATGATCTTACAGTTAGCACAGGAACTGCAACCAGCATTACAGAGACCAACAAAGCGTCACGGAGCACCAGACGCACAGTTGTCGTGTCGCGCCGCGCCGCAACAGCTGAAGTCTGTCTACACTGGAAGGCACAAAGCGAAGTTGAAAATCATTTGAAATTTGTGTCAGCACGTCATAAATAGAACGCGGCAGCAGTTTACTTTGGATTTTGTAGCACGGACACTAACTTAACTGCATCTGTTGTAAAAATGAATGAATTTTAATTAAATTAAATCTTTTGAATTTTAACTAAAGTGTCATATACTATTACATAAAAATTAATTTAGCAGTTGCAGTAAAGAAGTAGGTTGCAGCAACCAAATAATTGTTTTGCAGGGCCACATTAAATGATCGTTGATTGATAATAATGCTAGCTTTGCATAGCAACTTTTAGCCTTCACAATTTGAAGACTGCTTTGTTGATAATCAAACATCTGAAAATGTTAACGTCTAAATTTCCTGGATTTATTTCAGTCAGAAATATTATTAATTATCACTGACTTAATGCATATGCATTCATTTATACCACCAAAACTACGTTATTTGGGTTCAATCAGTTAGTAATTGCAGTGTAGCATTAACATTTTGTATTTTCAAAGCATGGAGCAATGAAACATCCAAAAGTAGGAGATATCATATCTGACATCCAGCTTTAAATGGAATGCAACGTCGTCGCTTTGCTGTTCTCTCTGATCAGCTGTTTGGACATACAGGGCCCAAAATAGTCCTCAGAACACAGATCTAATTAACTGCATCGTCTGGGTGCCATCCAGCGAGGACACGTCTTATCTTATTTGGCCCGATCGCTGATATTTTGCTTCATTCCTACAAACAGGATTATACAATAAAAAGTATTTGAGGACATTACGGGATTATAATGTAACTTGGATTAAGTAGAGCCGTTTGACTAACCTTTGCCAATGCCATATTCAACATTAATTTTAATAATAATAATAATAATAATGCTTCTTGAGCAACAAATCAGCATATTAGAATGATTTCTGAAGGATCATGTGACACTGAAGACTGGAGTAATGATGCTGAAAATTCAGTATTGCCATCACATGAATACATTAAATGTTAAAATAGAAAAATATATAACATACATTGTGAATTGTAAAATGATTTCACAATATTATTGTTTTTACTGTATTTTTGATCAAATTAATGCAGCGTAGGTGAGCATAAGAGACATAAGAGAAAAAGAATGGTAATGTATGTACAGTAGCACAAAAATATTGGGTAATATAGTAAATTTTATTTGTATTTACCTATTTTTGCAGTATTGAATGAAATGTGTAATCGTTTCCACAGTTTGGGTGTGCCTTCTCCACAATGGATACATGCATAAAAATAGGCCAAAAGAAAGTGACTAAGGCGGCAGCATAATCAGCCTACATTTGGAACAGGCAGCTCACTAGGTTTTGGGACAGAGCCAACAATGTGTTGAACTGAAGGTCTCCGGTTCTGGCTGTTCTTCGATAACAAATCAACTCCTTTAAAAAAATGCAACAAAGCTGTGCCTGTGACATTATTTTTGTACTGATAAAAGCATAACGCTACGATCATCAAAAATAGAAAACAACACAGTTGTTCGTACCCTAATGAACCTTGCGCTCTTTCTCGTATGCTGCTGACGTCTCTGTGGGAACTGAGGCATGTGAGAGCTCACAGCAAGGAAGAGGGGTCCGTTTCATCTCAGCCTTTGGTTATGTTCGGAATAGGATACTATCCTACTACACTTACATGCAAAGGTCTGTATACTTACTACAATGTGCAGTATACAAAAGAGTTTTTATTTTTCTAAGATGCAATGTGATGAAGTCATGTGACAGCAAATGTAGCATACTACTGTTTGAGATCTTGGAAAAATGTCAGCTGTTTCAATTACCCTTTAAAGAAAACAGTAGAAAGTATACATTGAGTTAGTAAGCTAGTATTCCATTCCGATGATAGTCTTTGTTTTTGGTCACTTGTTTGTTAAGTGCCTTATTATCAGGTGCTCGTGTGTGATTGTTGTTCTGGTGTGTTGCGCAGTGAAAAGCATGTTGCAGCTTCAGCCCTGTACCGTCAGCGTTTCCTAAGTGTGTTATCTTCTCTTAACTACAGATAGGAAGGGGGTATTACAGAAACCTAAAAATCCTAAAACCTTAACTTTAGGACAACCCCACAGCTGTCCTCACTTCAAAATTATTTGAAAGCTAACGGAAAAAAACGCTTACAATTACACTGTCCAACAATGGTATTACATTTATTAATAATTGAAAATGAAGAACGGAGATGTTTAATGGTAGAAAGACTCTTGGAGGACCCTGAAGATGTGTTACATTTTGATGAAAAAACACATAAGTAATTACAGACTGCCGCGCAACATGATCTTACAGTTAGCACAGGAACTGCAACCAGCATTACAGAGACCAACAAAGCGTCACGGAGCATCACCGGTTATGGTGCAAGTGACTAATGCCTTGCACCGTGTCTACACTGGACGCAAGCGGCACGGCGCGACAAAATAGCCTACTATAGAACTCATTATAATCAGTGATGCTGTCAACACTGGTTGCGGCGCGGCGCACAACGACAGATCCCCGACAATAAACTGCTGGTTTATTGCCGCGTTCTATTTATGACGTGCTGACATAAATTAATTTCTAATGATTTTCAACGGTCGCTTTATCGCGTCCGGTGTACAGTAGACAGACCTTAGCTGTTGCGGCGCGGAGCGGAGCGACACAACAGCTGTCGCGTCCGGTGTAGACACGGTGTTACGTTTTTTTGCAAAAGGCGATTTTCAAAGTGAAGTACCTTCTAATATTTTGTTTACCTCATCAGCAGCTCGAGCAGTGTTGGTTTCTTGGTAACAGACCTGAGAGTGGATTGTCGAGCTTGATAATGCAATTTAAGATTTCCTAACTAGAGATAAGATACGATTTTGTAAGATAGGATAAGAATCCCAAATCAAGTTAAGATTTGCTTCTGTAATACGAATTTCTGAAAAATCCTAATTTAACATATCACATCTTAAGTTAAGACCTAAGATAAGAAACGTTCTGTAATTCAGATCTGTATTCCGACCACTTTATGCACTACATACTTCCTATTCTTGTAATAAACTTTAATTTTGATACAACTGACAGCTTTCAGACCTGATTCATGCCTTTG